CCACGCATAGGTCCTAGTTCACAAACTGGAACCGCTCTAGAAGACACAGTGATCGTTCGGGAACCCGCTTTAAGATCATTTGATGACGTTGACCAGTCTCGTCTGGGCGAAAATCGGAAAAACACCACAGCGGACTCCGGTACGGTGCCTGTACGGAAGCAACGGACAATACAGAATCGAAAACTTACACACTACTTGTATCGAAAAACAGACGCCAAAGAGGCCACTTGGGTTTATGTTTCTCACTTCAGCTCCTTACTTCAGTTGTGGTCGTTTGATGAACTATATCAACTTCAAAATCAGTTTGAAGCCTTGGAATTACTGAAGGGTATAACCGTGGCAGCAAATGAAGCGCGACCCAAAGCACCCACTCTGGATGTAAGTTAGATTTTTCTTGTTTCTTATCAAGATATAATACTTCACATGTTTCTTTTTTTCAATTCGGGCCCGTAGTCGCATCGCTTTCACCGATTAAAATGGGTCTCCACATTATAGTGAGAGTACTGAACCAGAACACAGTATTGTGTCCAATATTTTTCCATTGTAGTACCACCTCACCAAATCCAGATTTCCGGATGTGGTCGGGTAGTGCAAATCTTGTAGGCTTTATACCACGGCTTTTGTGCGATTCTCCTGGCTTATTTACCACCAGGAGTGTTGGACTCGTCGGTGCAGTACTTCTCTCACGAGGAAATACTTTCGAGGTTACCATCGAAGAGGAATACTGTGGGCCACTTGCCTTTGGTCAAAGAAAATTCAACTCTTGCTTGATGTTCCAATATTATTTACTTCGATCAGCCATCCACTAATCATGCACATAGGTTGTTGAGAAATTTGGATGGCTGAGTTCCCAGATGAATAAGATGACTAGCAACAGCTGAACCTTTGACTGCTTGTCTGAAGTTGGTAAGATGCAGCTGATGTGCGTGGAGCCAAATGTGTTGTTGTTCCCAAATATTTGATGCCAACGTAAACTAGAGAAAATAAGGTCGGCACACAATCTCTTACTCTTTTCTAGGCTTGGGCAACCTGGCAGTACCCCAGCCCTCGTGCATCCTTTGGCATGGCAGCTAAGCACTGAAAGAGTGCTACAGCTGAACAACGATCCCTCAACAGCTAGCAGCGGGCCAAGCATGCTGGAATTACAATGAGTGCCAGCATCTTGATCTTGATCTTCTAGGTTTATGCGGCCTGGTAGTATCCCAGGCCTTTTGTTTCGTTTTAGTGGCATGGTAGCTATGTGGCGAAAGGGCACTACAGATGACCTTCATGCTGCTCAGCTTAGGTCAAACGAGAACCACACAGCAAACTCATCAGTATCATAAAGCTAATTTATCACGAAGCTTCATAACAAAGAAATCAGTGGAATTTATTATGAATGCGATAAATATCGTGATGTTTCTTG